TTAGTTTGGAATGAGTAGAGGTCATGAGCTTCATCAGGGTGATTAATGACATGAGTTCCGATGTGCATGCAGGCGTGCCCTTCCCTAAGAACTTCCTGTCGATGGCGAAGACGATCCTGAAGCGGCTGTTCCGCGTCTACGCGCACATCTACCACCAGCACTTCCCCGAGGTGGTGCAGCTCGGCGAGGAGGCGCATCTCAATACCTCCTTCAAGCATTTCATCTTTTTCGTACAGGTGACGCCCCACGCCCTTACACGCTCTTACACGACCCACACTCTCTTACGCGCCCTTACACGCGCCACAAGCCCTTACGCGCCCTTACACGCCCTTACACGCCCCCACGCACCACCTACGCGCCACTACACCACTACACCACTACCAGTGACCATAATCATGACTAACTGTACTCCAACCAAATAACGTACGTGAACAATTTCGCAACCAGATAAAAGTTTCACATAATTTGTGTATAGAATTAGAGGGCTAGTCGGGCTCATGAGGAAATATTCTATAATACCAAAATGTAATAAATGAATTTTGTAATTCCCCCATTGTATGTACATACGATGCGGGAGGCGACCGCGCCGCTCACGCCCCCCTCTGTCGCAGGAGTTCAACCTCATAGAGCGGCGCGAGCTGGCGCCGCTGCAGGAGCTCATCGAGAAACTGACGGCCAAGGAGGCGCGATGAGCCCCCCACGCAAGATGCTCGCATTATGCACTCTCTTTATTTATGGATTATATTTTTTTAATGAAATGATTGACTTGATTGACGTCATAAATTGTAATACGTAGCTACATTTTAAGTAGGTAAAAAATATTTTGTATTTCATTATATAAATCTTTTTGTTTATATCTTTTGAATACATTTGTACATTAATGAGATGCCGACGCACCAATACATTGTTGTAATCTGACAAATAACACATAATGTTCGATTGCAACTCTTCACTTTTCAAATACGAAAATGCTTTTCCCCGACCAAATGAAAGCCTACTTAGTTTATGAGAATATTGTGTCGATGTTCCTCAAGCGACGTGTAGTTATTAGTTAGCCATGCGATTGTTAGCTGCACACGGGCGGGGGGTGCGCCGGGCGGGGGGCGCGCCGGGCCCGCCGCCGCGCCCGCCGCGCCCGCCGCGCCCGCCGCGCTTTTAACATTATTACAAATTGTTGAATTCTGTATGTTCTATGCACGACTGACATTATTTTTTTTATTTAATTTAGATTTTAAGAAATAATAAATATCGATCTGAAATTGTTTAACATTTTTATTTTATTTATAAAGGAAAAGCGCACATAGCGTGCAAAGTTACGTAGTTATGGAGGGGAGAGGGGGGTGACGTGCAAT